AATGTGTGTTAGCTGCTGTACCTCAGCACTGAACAGTGGCCCCATAGGTATGGGAGTGGAAAGAGCAATGAATGGGCGCAGCTGCATCTTCCCAAAAACAGAGCAAAGTTGCCTGCCGCCTTTCCAGTCCTTAAACTCCACCACCAGCCGCTGAACACTTCCCATGTGAAACAAGGTGTTTGCCAGAGAGTGGCACGACTCCCCGGCCACCACCCCCCACGTTGGTTCTTTGGTCCTGCCTTTGCCTATTCATGCGCCTTCCTTCCTCCGCTTTCCTTTCTCTCTCCTTTTCTCCGTGTTTATATTTACTGGTTTCCTGTTACTGTTTCCTCCACCCTATGTTCCATAACTTCAAAAAGAAGTGGAAATTATGAGAATTGCCTAATGTCACCGTGCTCAGACCTTACACTTTTTTTTGTTGTTTTGTTTTACACTAGGGGGGAAAAGAGAACACATGTTCCATGCCTCTTTTTCTCTCTCTCCCCCCCCACCCCCACAAAAAACAAAATTGCTGGGGTGCTCGTTTTTTACTCACATCAAGGTTATGACTGGTATGCTGTTGGTAATCTGAGAAGGCAATGGTGAGTGGTTACCTGTTCTAGCATCAAGTAAACTGGAGAAAACCCCCCACCAAACCCACCCACCCACTAATTTTTAGTTACTTATGAATGATTTTGGCAAGGAAACCTATTGTGGCTTTTATGCATATTATACATCTAAAACTATTCTCTTTTTCTGAAATGAGATATGCAGAGTTTAAGTCTGAAGTCAAAGTTAACTGAAGCGCAGAAGCTGCAGACAACCAAAGAGACAGGCTTGGTCTAACCACACCACAGTGACTGGTGTATGGAATGCGCAGTAGGCTTTGGCAAGCTCACCTATCTATCCATCCACGTGAGCAAAAATCGAATGGTGCTATACACTGTAGGAAAACAGAGCAGACTATAAGGAAGCATAAGAAAACCATGAGAACAAAAGAGTATGCAAATGCAATACAGCTAGTGATGTCACAACCACTGTCGCGGCAATTTATTTTGTGACTTGCAATCTTACTTCCCTTTCTGTAGAGACTAGAGGATGATTCACTTTGTCCAAAACACTGACCAGACAACATTTGTCTATAGCTTATGCTAATAGAATTTAAAAAAAAAAATTAAAGATTAAGGCGTGTCACATCCGTGACACTGATAATGAAATAGGGAAACATGTCACCTTGCCCATGTAAGGACTGTATTTGAAACCAAGATCCTTAGCTTGTCACACCACCGCGCCAGGCGCAGCAAGTCCAATAAGGGATTCCAATGCACAGGCCTAGAGTGAAATCCATGTGCACGTGGAGACTTCAGCACTGTTGGGTGCAATCCAGAACGCAGGTGAGGTCTGCACAGGCAGACGCTCAGGGCTTGTTGAAAGAAGGGCACTGTTTGCCCTGGCAAACTTGCAAGCCAAATAGCGGGCTTTAGGCAGCAGCTGAGAGAAGAGGATCATGGTTTTAAACTAAGCCACCCCGAATGCTATCGAAGTCCTGCTCTTGGTATTGAAGTTCTTTATTTTGATCTGATTTCCAGATCCAGGAGATAACTTGTCTGCAGTGTGTCTGTTTTCTGATGGCACAATTCCAGGTCAGCATTAACCTGACTTGTATGAAGTTCAGAGTTATTCTGAAATGAATCTTGCTAATATTGAAACCCTGATATCAAGCAAAGTCAGAAGTTACTCTGAATGAGTGCTTTCCTTCAACTGCCAACGACAAGTGATAAAGTAGCCTTAATTTTCTGAAATGCTTTCTTTATCTTTAGTTTTACACCATCTCTTGCCTTCCCTATCAAAATCAGGAAGTCATGTATGACAACTGTCTCCGTAAGAATAAAAAATTTAAGATTTCAAGTCTAAATGATTCAATACATTTGGCTAATTTGTTCTCTCTGTCCTAATCTCAACTGTGTTCCTCAGTTCCTGTGCTATGGCAATTTTCAGTTCTAAATGTGTTTATTTTTAATTTTTGTTTGCTCCTAGGAGCTTGATTTTCCTCCTCTTACTCTCTTTTTTCCAAGCACACTTAAATAGCTTTCAAGGGCACATTTATTTTTTTAAGTGAGATGTCATTTTGCTTTTATTGCATCAGTTCTCTAGTTTATTTCTTTTATTACAAAAAATATTGCTGACTTTAAAGATCCCACAGATGTATGTTTGCTGCTAGCCAGAAAAGGTGTTAGAAAGACAATTAAGCTAGAGAATGAAATCATCCACTATGAGCGAGCAAATTATACAAAGAACTTTTGCCTCCCCTTCTTGGTGCTGTATAATCACAGAAAAGGCTTCCTCCAGCTTCAGACAGAGCCCTCCTGCCCACATTTCTTCTCTCTGATGCTTCCAAAGGGAAGGCTGTCACTAGTCCCTCCACATTCCAGCTTCTTCCCTGACCTATCCTACGGGGTTATCTCATCCTCTGACTTTCCTGCTGAGCAACCAGTCACGAGCTCCCACTGCCTACAGAAACAGGCAGTCTGTTCCCGTATACACGTGCTTCAAGCACGAGTGGCAACAATTATCAAGTTCCACAGCAGCATTTCATGTAAACAGCAAATGAGGCACAGTAACAAGCACCATCACAGACAAAAGACCAAAAAAACTGCAAAGCTGCCATCTTTAACCATGCTTACAGCCAGCTGTTCTCTTCAGCAGAGAATCACAGCTTATCCTACAAAATACGCTCCAAATGGTCCTCAGGAAGAAAGCTGCAACTGAGGCTCTACTCACTCCTCAACGTTCATGACCGTTCCCAGCTGGCCGACCCCATTTTACCCAGCAAACCCCTGAGCAGTTTGCCAGGGAAAATACTAGCTACCAGTACTGGCTGCAATAGGAGGAGCAAGGCTGGTAGTTTTGTTTTTAAAGAGCTCCTCAGCTTCCAGCTCCCACCCCAGCCCTTTACAGTAGCGGTGAGGTTTGGAAGAGGGTGAAGAAGCAGGGAGATCTGGAGGCTCAGACTTCTGCACTGCAGCTATCAGCCTTGCACCGCTGAGGGCAGCCCTGCTGCAGTTAGCCTGTCAGCTTCTCACTGGTACCCCACCGCTGGCGTGGCATTTGAGATTCCTCAGGGCAAAAGCACTAACGGGCAAATTACCAGTGGAGAGGCACAGCATTAACGAAGGGGGTGGGGGGAGGGAGGAGAGGAGTGACAGGGATCCAAGGAACAAACCTCTTGATAGTCCCCATACCTCTCTCATTGGGTGGAGGCCTACAGAAGATCATGGGGCTGGGAGATACTGAGCCTAGGATTTTGAGGGGAAGACTCGGAGGCAGAAAAATTTGGACTTTGATCTGGCAGTCTGAGTGGGACAGGCTACAAGGGAGCTCTTAACAGCTATCCAACTTGAACCGATGAAAGGCAACTTTAAAATAGAGACAGGACAAATCTTACTTCAAGTCAAGAGGTCCTGCACAGATGTGTTTAATAAGGGATAGAATCACAGCTATAGCACACTGCAACTAATTTTTCTGGCACGGATAAGATTTAAATGCCAGATACTAATTTTCATATAAAACAGGCAGGCAGGCAACAAGGTTATGAGACAGATCAGGTCAAATCTCAATTCTCATATGCAATTCCCCTAAAGTAAAAAACGTTACTGGCAAGATCTCCCTGTACACTCATGACCAAATCCACAGAGTTTTTGCTCCTGTAGAATAGCAGCTGCATGACTGGCAAGACTTTGCAAAGAACCATCATGCCAAGAAACCTGATAATAGTTTAGTTCATCAACTTCTTTAAAATAAGTATTTGTTATAGCTTGATATATAAAATATATTATCTAAGACCGTTGGGTAACTAGCTTTGTATAGCACATAACAAGCATTTTTGGACCTAAGAGAGCACGGAAGTCTGGCTCATTAACTTTTCTCCCCCTTTTCTTCTATATGCAAGCCCTCCCATTCCCTCTATAACCACCATGCACACAAGATGCTTAGAAGAAGAGATGAGGTTTATTTCTTTTTTACTTTTATCTGGCATAAGAGAATGCAAGAGGTGAATAATACCAAAGCCTACTGACTGACCTAAACAAATGCCATTGTTAAAGCAATGCTGGCTTACGCAGAGGAAAAGAGCTTTACGTTCCAGCAGAATGTCATTATGAGAGTAGCGCTGATAATTAGTTACTTCTGTTCCCTTCGTGTTGCAGGAAAATTAACTGCACTGATTAAAAACCAGGTTCAGCCTGTAATGCATCTCTATGACATCATTTAGACAAACAGCTGATGAGATCTTCCTCGCTTGTACCCAAAACATAGCTTTGTTCAGGTTTTTGTTATCACTGGAATGTTTTTTTCAACTTAGAGTCTCAGTTATGTTGCAGGATAGAATAAATGCACTTATGCTAGAAGTGACAGCAGGTCCATTTAAAGAAGTGTATGATTGGACATTTTTTACAATTGGGAGAGAAATCTGAGTAGAGACCTCTCCCAGGTAGTCCTAACTTTGTTAAAAAGTTCAAATGTACAAAATACAATGTTTGGAAAGTTAATATTCTCTCTGAATTCCCCCTGTGATGCTGAGAAAATAAAATCAATTCATATTGCTATGAAATTCTATTTTTGCAACTGGTGACATCCCAAGCTTTATCGATTATGAAGACTATAAAATCCTCACCCTAGTCCACATTTCCAGAGTAGAGGCTAAAAGCCCAGTCAAGTAACACAGCAATAATCTCTCTTCCACTGAGAATACTTTTATTCACAAGGCAAAAATTGGAGTTAGACTTTTAGGTTGTGGGCAAGGCACTCGCAAAGTGAGCAAATCTATTTTTGCTCACAGAACTAATTTAATGTTTAAGTGCAACAAAAACACTAAATTAGCCATGAAGATCATGCATATCCAACAGCTTTGACCAGACATGACTGTGACCCAGGCCTCTAAATACAGAAAAGTCCTAAGGAATCAGCTCTCTTTTTTTCTGCTTCACCAGATGATGTTTCCTTTTGACTAGTCATAGAAATATCATTTCCATTAGAATAATTAAACATTTATTAAAATACTATATATTTAAGAGTTAATATATGGTTTCTTTCAGTAATAAAATATGGAATACTCTGTTTTTCAATGATATTCAGCCCCCAAAACTTAAAGGAGAAACATTCATGCTGAAAATAGATCAATGTACAGCACTAGGTCAGAAATAACACCTCTTGATTAAAACCCCAGGATCTTACTGTGAAACTGTACATTGATTAACAATTCACTTTTTCCTTTTATGCATGTATTTCATTTTCAACATCTGGCAGTGAGTGAAATACCAACCCGGATTATCCGATACTGAAGCAAATCTAACAGCCTCAGTGTTATTTGTTACAGTCCATCCTTCTGACAGACTCTAGATACTTGTCTTCCAGAGACAGATTGCTCTGTGTCTCGGATCAGCACCATTTCTAACACATGCAGGGCACAGCAGAATGTCACATTGCAGTCCTGGGTATTTCATGTCTGGTACTTCATGCAGCGTCCTCTTTGCAAGTCTCCATGTCTCTCTCAATGAGGCATATGCACACATTTCCAAACAAATAAGCTGCATTTTCAAAAAGATATTAAATATGAGGTATAAAAGACTACAGTATTGTTAAAAGAAATGGCTAATAACAGTCAAAAGAAAAATTACAGTTAAAAATATGATGGTCTGAATACAGATGTAAACATATTTTAATTTATTAAATCTTAACTGTTCATATTAACATCTGGGCTATTTATTTTGTTGCAAATATCCATTTCTTTATATACAAACAGAAAAGAAAGTACACAGATAAAAAGATGAAGACTCTGAACTTGAGCTTTATACTGTTATGGACTGTCCATGTCCACTGCTGTGTACTTTTTGACAATAACGGAAAGGATACATACCTGCAGTCATCCCCTCCAGCACTGACCACGTATCTATCTCCACTTGTAAATCGAATATTAGTCAAGTGGGCAGAGTGACCTAAAAATCGTTTGTGTTTTGCCTGAAAAAAAACCAATAAAATGAGAGAGTCTAAATACTCTGTCCCCTCCGAGATCAAACGAGGTATGCATGTTTTTATCCACCTTTTTATTGCATCACATATTTATATCATCCAGAATGTTATATAGGTTTTCAAATGTGAAAGATCTCCTGAAGGAGAACTACTATCGAGCTCAACGCAGATTAAATTGTCACCAAATGAGGCAGCACCTGAAAATTGACAACAATGCTCAAGCTAACAGAATAAAATGAAATATATCTTGTCACATGATTAACCTCTAAATTTTGTGTAGAATTCCTAACCCTGAAAAAAATATTTTCATTATAAGTGTGCAAGCAGCTTACACTGTGCAGTCTCAAATCCTGAAAATTAACAGTGCTAGTATTAGCAAAAAATCTGTAAACTCTTCATCCATGGAAATACACAGATGGGACTAAAATTACTAGCTGTCTTCCTCATCTGTCAAATGGCGATTGGAAACGTGGATAAATAAAACTAAGGGCTTTGAGATTTTCAGTATGAAGGCACTACGCTAATACAGACTGGCAGACAATATAACACCCACAAGAGCTTATAGCAAGAGCTACTGCACAAAGTGTTAGGAAAACTTTGAGGTGAAGCATGTTTATGAGACTATAGAGCTAAAGTTACATAGATGTGTTAAAAAGCTACAAATTTAGAGTAGGAGATATTTCCATCATATGTCTTCTAGAGAAACAATACGAGACCATAATAGCAACAGTACTTTTTGTTGTAACGATGCAAAAACAAGTTCTTACAAATTTTTCAGGACATGGAAAGTCAAACAGTTTGACCATGCCAAAATCATCGCCTGTTACAAGATTGATTCCCGAGTGAGAGACACAGGCACAGTTTACATCAGCTTTTTCAGCATGCCTGGACCAGATTCCAATTACTTCATCCCCTAGAACACTGAAACAGAAGAGCAAGAGATTCTTTTGAAAACCATAGCAAAATCAACAGAGTAAGGAAATAGTAAGCAGCTCCCATATTGTAACTGGTTTTATAAAAATGTAATTTTCACATTTTATTCTTAAACATACACATCTCATATAGGTTTTACTCTGTAATTACTTTTTACATTATTTCATAATTGCTTCTGAAATTGATATTGATATTCAGTGATATAATTCCCAAAATAATGTGGCCCATGACAACACTAAAAAGCAGAGGTGAATCAACAGTATTAATACTGTCCAGTGAGGCATTTGCCAAGAAAATGAATAAAGAAAGGGCAATTAAAAATAGTT